GGTTATCTGGTTCAACATATCCTTTTAATTCACCTAATCGCTATTGGTCAATTTGCTGAAATAGCGAATGAGCTGAACTGGATGAACCAATTGAACCGGATAAATCTGCCATCTGGCTGAGGAACACTGATTGTACTGACAAGGAAAGGATACTTGGTCGAAGTAGCGTTTCCGTATGAAAGCTCTACTGTTTTATAGAGTCTCGCACGCTGATTCAAAGTCTTCTTTCGATATCTGCAAAACGCTTCTGGGAGGGGAGTTATGGGAACTTTCTAAGGCAAAAATTCGAGGATTTGACTAAGGTAAAATTAGGTGTTAAGGTCTTTCCAAGGCTTAAAAGGAATAATAACTAGCATGATTTCTATTAGGCTAAAGGTGCTGATTGTATGAAGCGCCTTGGCACTTATCATACCCTATTCGAGCTCACAAACTACACTTCTGAATGATTTTATTGTAGCAGCGCGTTCAAATTTTTGACCTGATCACCATAAGAGGAATGGAGTTGAACTTATAATGTGTATTGGGACGAAGCGGAACAATTATGCAAAGCTTAACATCAAACAGAGAACATCAAAAGAACGATGCGAAGGGCAAACTAGGAGTTCTAACAAGGGAATGGTCAGAAGTCGAAGTGGCCAATACGTACATGCTGCATACCATTAGATGCAGCATAAAACGCTGATTCTAAATCTGTCTTTCCTATCTGCAGAGCGCTTTTGTGGAGGAAGTTATAAGCCGTTGAAGGTCATTATTTTGCTAAGAAATTGGGCGTGTAAAGTGCAAACTTTGCCGTACAAAGCCATTCTCGGCTCAATGTTGGGTCAAAACGTGCAACTAGGTCATTTCATATGACCCATGCCTAGAGGTGAGCTAAAAGAGCAATAACGTGCTTGATTTGGCAATTTTTGTATACAATTTTTTCGCAGTAAAGCTGCTCATAACTTCGTCCATAAAGGCGCTCTGCAGATATGGAAGACAGATTTGAAATCAGCATTCTATGCTGCATCGAATGGTATGCAGTTTGTATGGATTGGCCACTTCGAATTCTGACCATTCCCTTGTAAGCTTTGCATTGAGGAAAACTGCAACATATAGCACTAACTTAAGCATCGTCACCGCTAAGAAAAGCGGGATGTGTTTCAAGTGCCTTTCATGTGTGCAAGTTGAGCGAGCCAATTCTTCAAACGTCTAGGGATTTACAAAAAGGGCAGTTTTGCTTAGTATCCCAAAGCTTGTGCCAATAACTGCCTCGGAGCAATAAAAACTTGGAAACCAATGATACATGCAGTTGAACTAAAACTATCAATAGCAAACTCACTGGACGTTCTGGTTTTAACTCCTGAAATGGATTGATTAAGACTTCACTGGAAAAGATTAGCAAAAGAAAATCGATTTCAGGATGATTCTACAGGATATCGAAGGATCGAAAACCTCAAAGGGTTTCGATATTTAAAAAATTGTTAATGGAATAAAAGCCGCGATGTTCTGACGACATCACGCTACGGGAAAGTTGGATTTGCTATTGAGCGTACTCTCTTCAGCTTACAAATCGCTTTCATAAGACTGCGCAGAGAATATCCTTTTTTGTACTATGCACTTGTAGATTAAAGTAAATGTAAACTATTATTAAAACTTAGGAACGTACCTCCACTTTATCCAAGGTCTTTGCGAGCTGAAATGTTGCATGATTACATCGGAAGTGAGAGTTTATGCATTTCTAAGTTCTAGTTAAGAGCTAATCCGAGACGAAACCAGCCAATTATATTAGGTTGGCTAATAAATAAGTTCGTTTTGACATGCAAATTCAAAGCTTCATAACAAATCAAGTAACATCTATTCAGCTAAGATTTTTTGTGAGAAGATAGCCTAAAGCCTCTACTCTTAAACATTGAATAGTCAAGATTTTGTGTTAGCAAAAAAGACAGTTATAGCCTTATATGGTCAAACTTCTAAAAAATCTTTTTTTTTTTGAATTTCTAACTTTCGTTCTCAGTCTGCAGTGAGTACACAGGCGAGTAATTTGGTGGCTGGGTACATATAACCTCTGGCTAGGTGGCGAACCACAATAGAGATTGTGACCTGTTGTTTCTGAATTTCTGCAGTCAAAATTGTGAAAATTTCCAGGCATTTGCGCGCGAAGGTCAAATTTTGGGCATTCTAGATAGCTCGAATTTGACCATCTACGGCCATGCAAATGGTTGGAAATTCAAAAATTTGCTGTGTCAGTGGCGAATCTACACTTTACACCTGACTTCAGCTCGTTTTTCGGAGCGTGATTTTTCGAAATTTTGAGGGCAAAATCGGACCAATTTTCTTTCCCTCATCAATTCATTATCAGAAAATATTTTTGAGAAAGCAGAGTTAACCTTCCGATCCTCCTTGATTTGCTCTTTCCTTGATTTTCCAGTGATACCATACATACACACAAAAACTGATTTGTGACAATTCTACAAACCGCTAAAAACGACCGAACTTATTTTTTAGCCAACCTAATATAAGCGAGGCGTGCGCGGGCGTACGAACCTTAGGGCTTAGAGCAATACTTCCAGCGATTCCGATGAATCGCTACATCTGCGTGGCTTAACGATTTGTCAGATTACAGAATAATCGTGTGCGGATCTCAAATGTACAAGCGCATAGATTTTGTGAGATGTCGCAAAGGCATCAAGTCTGGCCCAAATGAAGCGCGCTTACGACCATAATGAAGACTCGCTGCAGTGCAATATAGATCGCGCAGCAAATTCGCTTGAGGTATGCTCTAGGTCTAACGACGAACTCGAAGGCCGCGCCCGCATACGCTTCACAGAATGAACCGAACGCTTTCGCCATGGGTTTGCCGCTGATTCTTGGGGACTCATGCGACTCATCAATTGAACCCGCGGCCCATTTTGAATCAAATGAGTACCCTTCACGTCAATTGCGATAATAACCATGATCTTACGGCTTTAAGTCCTTCCTCAAATTGGTTGTTGGCCTAAAAAAACGTGAATGGAACTTAAATCCTGCTTGTACAGAATTGGGCACTATACAATGCGCTCTATGCAATCATGATTGTTTCTTTGCCTTTCGAATGTTGGTAGAGTGGATACTCCACAAAAACTTTATAATCTGCATTTTATTCTGTGATTGACCTGATAACTGTATTCCACTCTGCCGACATTCGAAAAGCAAAGAAGCAATCGTTATTGCATAGAGCCCAATGTCTGTTTGTGCGCAAGTGTCTTTGCATATCTGTTGTGAAGAGAAAATATCATTTATGCCATCCAGCCCAAATTTTTTTCGCACATGCACTTCTAGCGGCAATAGGGAGGGTGGGGGGGGGGGGGGGAGAAATGTTCATATTCCACTCTACGATCAGCATTTCATTGTTTCTGCGAATTTGAGCGAGGGATCTAGGATCGAAGCTGGAATTAAGTGAATGCGGTTACTAAAATATTTCAAAAGTGAGTTTCGCTGATAGCACGGGAGGGGAGCTGTAAAACCTGAGCTAAAAAGCCAGCACTAAAAGGTCATTGAGAGGGTAAGATACGAATATTGTACTGGAAAGTGATGTGTAGAAGTGGAACGGGTATGCTAGTTGGTGATGACTAGATATCAAAGGAATTTTGCGAACGAAGGTGTCGCGACAAGGCCTTCATACTAAAATATGCTAACGCGGCAAACCAAAGTGTGACATGGTCCGGATTTCTAGATATCGTCAAGTTGGGTGGATGTGACTAAGCCAATCTAGCCTGCTAGCCTATAAGACTATTTAGCATGCAAATGATGGTTGCGAATGGATATCCAAAACGTCACTAAGCTCCTTACAAATTGCGGTTTTGCTAGTATCTAGGGTCTGATGGTATAAAAGTGCTTCTTCTTCGCAAAAGAAAAAGTTAACTTGAAGATTGGTGCATTAATGCGGGATTATCTCCAGCATACAATTTTTTAAAATCCTTTGTAGGAGGCAAACACCACAAAATTTGAAAAGTTTGAAAATTTGGCCAATTTTTTATCCTGAGACTTCAAACTTTTTAGATATGAGTGAAGCAGCAAGTTTGAATTTACAGCTCCTCTTCTGCAATTTTTTGAAATCTAGAGTTTTTTGTCCAGCAAGTAAAATTGTCAGCAGAAAGAAAGTCCGTAATTTCTGTGATTGAAAATAGTTTTTTATGTGTAGAACAAGTGCGATTTGACATATATATAAATCAAAAGTCAAAATCAAGCATTAAAAGGCCAATACACAACCGCACAAAGATTTTGTAGTTGTCAAACAAATGCAAAAAAATTAGATCAGAAAAATACTTTTCGAAACTGCTCGGGAAGTCTTTACCAACTAATAGCCAATAAACATTATAGATGCGGCTACTTTTTGTTATTTATGCGAGAAGAGTTCTACAGGGAGAGGAGAATGAAAGTGAAAATGAAAATTCCACTTGCCCGGAAACTTTGACAACCTAGTTAGTAGCTAAAAGAAATTATTTTCTCTATTTGTTTTTGCGAAGAAGGGTACCAAGATAAGAAATCATTTTAATACTTTGATTTGTCAACGAGCAGAAGTGTAACAAGAAACGAACTTTGAATATTTTCGAAAAATTAGGATTTGTTTCTAAGCGTTTCTTCCATGCATGCAAATCTCGATCACGAATATCCCTTAAACGTGTATAAGCCGTTCACAATGCAGTTCTGCTAAGAATTCTTAGCGGCGAAAATACCCAAAGTCCACTTAACAGATGCGCAGAGATATTTGTTCTGGAGTAAGAAAGGCTCGGAAATGGACTGTACATACAGCTAATTCGTTACTACTATAGGCTAAAACTCACGGAGTTTTCCGATGAAGATGAAGACTCCTAAAATGAACTAAATTAGATAAATTCGCTAAATATGTCAAACAGAAAGATTGTTTTGAATTGCTGAGGGATTTTGAAGGATTACAAATCAAAAGCGACTACTAAAAGATAATGTTTGTGGAAAGGCTCGGAAACGGACTGTACATACAGCTAATTCATTACTACTATAGGTTAAAACTCACGGAGCTTTCCGATGATGAAGATGAAGATGAAGATGACTAAAATGAACTAAATCAGACAAGTTCGCTAGATACGTCAAACAGAAGGATTGTTTTAAATTGATGCGGGATTTTGAAGAATCAGAAATCTCAAAGCGAATACTCAAAGATAATATATGTGGCATACAAGTAAGAAAGGCTCGGAACTGAACTGTACATACAGCTAATTCATTACCACTATAGGTGAAGACTCACGGAGCTTTCCGATGACGATGAAGGCGGTTGAGGCTAAAATGAAGTAAATCAGACAAATTCGCTAAATACGTCAAACAGAAGGATTGTTTTGAATTCATGCTACGGTATGGATGGATCAGAAATCACAACGAATACTCAAAATGTGTGTGGTACAAGCAGCGATTGATTGCCATCGCTAAGAATTCGTTCCTTTTTGTCGTTGTATGCAAGTCTTATAGGTATAATCTTAGAATTTCACTTCTGTGTACGCCCTGGTAACCAAGAAATAAGTCCTGATGGCGAGCAAATTTTTCAAACGTCTAGGGACTTTTAAAAAATGCAGCTCTGCTTGCTAGCTTGTGCGAAAAATTTCTTCGAAAAGTTGAAAGCTTGAAATTCAACGATCCATACGGTTGAAATAGTACTAACAAAAGCAAACTTACTGATGGCTCTTCCTGGCGCTTCTTTTGAAAAAAAGTAAATCAGATTTTACTGGATTAGTTTAACAGAAATTGGTTTTTCAGGATGATTTTACAGAAAATCAGGGATCGAAAACCGCAAAGGGTCTCGGCTCAAGAGTTGTTAATGACATATAAATCACGATGTTTTGACAACGTCACGCCATAAAAAGGATGGGTTTGTTGTTAGCGTTTCCTTCGAATCAAGTCCGTTTTTATAAGATTGCAAAGAATAGCTCTTAATGTACTAATGTAGACTAAACTGAATGTAAGCTATCTATCAAAACTCAAGAACTTACTCCAAGCGAGCCGTCTTTTTTCTTGAAGTACTGAAAAGACTTGTAATTACATCGGATGTAAGAGTTTGTGCATTTCTAAGTTCTAATTAAAGGCTACTCCGAGACGAATGCAGCCGACCATACTAGCAGCACGCGCGGGCGTACGAACCGTAGGGCTTACGGCATACTTCCAGCGATTCTGTCAAATTCGGTACATGAGACTAGGCAATTTTCCAGACGAATGCAGAATAACCGTGTGCAATCCTTAAACGTACAGGCGCACAGATTCTGTAAGTTGTCGCAAAGGCATCAAGTTTGGTAAATAAAGCGCGCTTACGGCCATTATGAAGATTCGCTGAAGTGCCAGATCGAGCAGCAAATGGAATCGCTTGGGCTATGCCTTAAGGCTAATGATGAAAGATGCTAGAAGCCGCACTCGCATACTCCTCGCAAATTGTACCGACAGCCATCGTCACGGAATAGCTTTTACTAATACTTGAAGACTCATGCGACTCATCGATTCAACCCACGGCCCATTTTGAATCGCATGCGTACTCTTCACGACAATTGCAACAATAAGATTATGATCTTACCTCTTCAAGTGCTTTCTCATATAAATCGTCCTCCCGAAAAAACATGCTTAGAATAGGGTTTAATCCTGCTTGTACAGTTATTTCACAGAATAGAGCGCAGATCGTGGATTTCGGAATATCCACTCTGCCAGCATTCGAAAATCAGAGAAAAAATCTTTATTGTATAGAGCTCAATGTCTGTTTGTGCGCAAGTGTCTTGCATGCCCGTTCTGTTCATTTCATTTATGCCATACCCAAATTTTTTTCGCAAACTTCCGCAGCAAGGCGGAGAGGGGGAGAAGCAATGCTCATACTCCACTTTTCGTACGATCATCATTCTATAATTTCCGCGAATTTGAGCGAGGAATCACGATCGAAGATGGGACTTAGTGAATGCGATTACGAAAGCACTTCAAGAATGAGTATCACTGATTCTACGGGAAGGAGTTGTGAAACAGCTAAAAAGCAGTATCAAGTAAGGCCACTGAGTGGACATGATTGGAATATCCTACTGGGAACTGATGTGTAGAAGAGTAACGGGTATGCTGGTTGGTGACTAGATCCTTTTTTGAAGGAAATTTGCGAACGAAGGTTTAGCAAAAAAGGCCTTTTATATTGTAATGCTAGCGGGGGTAACCGAAGTGTAACAAGTTCGGATTTCTAGATATCGTCACAGCTAAAAAGTGGGTGGATGTGACTAAGCGTATCTAGCATGTGTGGAATTTGCTGAATTTGCTTTGGGTGTAATTCTTTACCACTATAGGTTAAAACTCACGGAGCTTTCCGATGAAGATGAAGATGAAGATGAAGATGAAGATGACTAAAATGAACTAAATCAGACAAGTTCGCTAGCACGTCAAACAGAAGGATTGTTTTGAATTGATGCTGCGGGATTTTGAAGGATCACAAATACTTAGATACTTAGATGGCCCGTCCTCACGTGACGTGCGGGCCCCAGTACAGAAGTTGCCATTGATCCCTGTCCCTCGCTTCGGACATCCACGATCTTTTTGGTCGTCGTCGGTGGCTGCGTCCACGAGTTCCATTGGCGAGAATCGTATCCAGCTGATTTCTCAGCTGGTCCATCCGTTCCACGAACACGTCTGCCCATCTTATCGGTGGTCTTCCTCGAGGACGTTTGGCTTCGCGAGGAATCCACTCAGATGTTCTTAATGTCCATCTATCGTCCGTTCTTCTCATTATGTGACCGGCCCATCGGTGTTTCGCTTTCGCAACGTATTCCGCTGGGTCACGAAGACGGGACATTCTTCTCATATCCGTGCTGCGAAGTCCGACTAGATGTTGCTTGTGTCGGGTCATCTTCAGAAGACTGCGCTCGAGCGCTCTGTGGGTGGTCCTTAAAGCTTTCGACGTGGCTACGGTGTCGGCCCAAGTCTCAGCTGCGTAGCAGAGCGCTGGGAGAACGGTTGAGTCGAACAGGTGTGCACGGAGCTCCGGGTCCGTCAGTTGATCGGTGGCTTCCTTCAGAGGCCCGAAGGCGGCCCAGGCTGCTCTTCTTCTCCTGTTAAGTTCTTCCCTCAAGTCGTTCTCCATGTTCATCGAACGTCCGAGATACACGTAAGAAGACGTCTCCAAGATAGGGGTGCCTTCCAATTCCAATTCTGCATCTTCGCAAAGGGCGTTCTTCATGAACTGAGTCTTCTTCCGATTTATTCGCAGTCTGATCTTCTTCCCTACTTCGTTTAGTTTCTTCAGCATCGTTTCTGCTTCAGTGATACTGCTTGAGAAAAGGACGATGTCATCCGCAAAACAAAGGTTGGATAGGAATTTCCCATCAACTCGTATGCCTCTCTCTTCCCAGTCTAGTGACTTCATCACCCACTGCAAGGCCGCGGTGAACAGCTTCGGTGAATTAGTGTCGCCTTGTGACACCCCCTTTCCAATTGGAATGGTTAGGGGACGATGGAATTGCTGCATCGTTGTTGTACAGTCCTTGTAGTAGTCGGCTAAGGTCCTCACATAAGCTGGTTCCACTCTTTGATCGACTAGCGCAGACAGAATGGCGTTGGTTTCGACGCTGTCAAAGGCTTTCTCGTAGTCGACGAAAGTTAGGACGAGAGGCAGTCGGTACTCCCGGCAGACTTCTATGACCCACGAAACCCTCTGGATGTAGTCCATGCAGCTGAATCCTTTGCGAAATCCAGCTTGTTCTTGGGGTTGGGCTTCATCCAGTGTCCTAGATATGCGTGCGAGGATAATCTTCGTGAAGAGCTTGTACAGCACACTCAGCAGGCATATTGGACGGTAACTTCGAAGATCTTCCCGTTCACCCTTCTTAAAAAGAAGGACGGTTCTTGACGTTCTCCACTGGTCGGGAATCCTCTCCTTCTAAAGGTAAGATGTCAGGTGCGACGCGAGAATCTCGTGTAGACGTTGTCCTCCGGCTCGCAGAAATTCAACGGAAAGATGGTCTGGTCCGGGAGCCGTGGATGTCTTCATGGTCTGAATCGCCGTGCGCACTTCAGCAGGTAGAATTCGTTACTTCTCCATTGGGAACAACGGGCGTCGGCACGGGTGTTGATGAGCGGAAGAGGTTGGTATAGAAGTTCTTCGCGATAGATTCCATCTTGTATCGAGAAGAAGTCGGAGTCCCGTCTTCATCCAATAGTGCAGCCAGCGGTACGTGATATTCACAGAGGTCCCTTCGGCATTTTTTGAGACTTCGTCTTCCTCCGGCTGCTTCCAGTATCTTGGCTTGCCTGTATTTCCTGAGATCCTACTGCATAGCTGTTCTGCAACTGGCGTTGGCTATCAGTCGCTCGAGATGGGTTGCATTCGGATCCTGCCTCAGAAATCTGCTTCTTTTGAGCAATTCCTTGGTGGTCTTCGAAATACTTCCAAGTTCTTCTCAGAAGTCACTGAGGCACATTCTCCGCGCTCGCAATCCTTTCAGAAGCCGGTCGTAGTCGTACGTTGGGTCCTCCTCGATGGGCCAGTCACATCTTGATATGAGCTCCTCCAGCCTGTTACCGTCACAAACGACTTCCTTCCTTCTCGCGGCACTGTGACAGACTTTCTTTTCCAGCGTTCGGCTGAGTCGTATCTTCGCTCGAAGGAGGCTGTGATCGGAGCCACTGCAGAAGGATGGAACTACTAAGACATCGAGCAAGCTCCACCTTTGGTTGGTGAGAATGTGGTCGATCTCCGCGTGGGTCGTTCCGTTGGGCGATTCCCATGTCCACCGGCGATGTTCTTTCTTCATGAAGATGGAGTTTCCATGGAAGAGTCGTGCGGCGGAGAGAAGCCCAGCGAGGTGGTTGCCATTTTCGTTCCGGAGCCAATATCCAAACTTCCCGATCCTATATTCCTTTTCTAGTGGCATCCCGATTTTCGCATTGAAGTCGCCCACAACATACTTGTAGAAGGACTTTTCGTTGCTGACGACCTCCTCCACGTCTTCGTAGAAAGCATCTAGTTCTGAGTCGTCAGCTGCTGATGTTGGAGAGTAGCAGTTGATGATGCTGATGGTCTTCTGACGTGGAGGGCGTAGTCGTAGGATGGCTAGTCGGGGTGATAGGATCTCGTGCGAATCGACAAGATGGACGATAGATGGGTGGACGACAAAGCCAACGCCTCCCACGTTTCGTGATGGAACCTTCTCACCACGAATGATGAGCGTCCCATCATTCATCTGTCGCACGTCCTTCTTCCTGGACTTCGTTTCCTGCAGAGCGATGATGTGGTACTTGATGTGCTCTGCAGCGTCGAGAAGAGCGTGGAGGTCGGCGTTTGTGGAGACTGTCCCGGCGTTGTAGGTGCAGGGCATGAGGCAGTCTCCGTGGCGTGTCGCCCGGGCAGACGTATCGTTTTTGTATAAATCCAAAAGGCGCCCTGAGGACCCCGACATCAGTCTTGCTACCATCCGGCGCCGTAGGCGGGATCCGATGTGCAGGGTTTCTTTCTATTCTTCTAACTGGTAGAGTAGTGAAATTTTTTCCCCTACAAGAGCAGACTTACTAGGCCAACTCTTGATTTCCACGGGGCGATCGCTGACCCCGGGCTTGGAGCGGGGAGAACCGCCTAGCGACCTGAAAACCAGATGGCGGTGGATCTGGTCTGGCCATCACAAATCACAAAGCGAATACTCAAAGATAATGTGTGTGGCATACAAGTAAATAAGGCTCGGAACTGAACTGTACATACAGCTAATTTATTACCACTTTAGGTGAAAACTCACGCTTTCGGATGAATATGGAGGCGGTTGAGGCTAAAATGAAGTAAATCAGACAAATTCGCTAAATACGTCAAACAGAAGGATTGTTTTGAATTCATGCTACGGTATGGTGGATCAGAAATCACAACGAATACTTAAGATTTGTGTGGCATCCAAGCAGTGATTAATTGCCATCGCTAAGAGTTCCTCCCTTTTTGTCGTTGTATACAAGCCTTATAGGTATAACTCTAAAATTTCATCTCCGTGTAAGCCCTGGTAACCAAGAACGAAGTTTAACATCAAAAACTGCAAACAGTGACATTTTTGCAATTTTGGGCTAATTAGATTCCTTAATTTTAGGGCCAGGAAAAAATCCACCAAACACATTTATGGCTACTACTATTATATTTCTGCTCTATAATGACTAGCTTGGAGTCCGTAAAAATTTTCTGGGAGACTCTGTTTTTAGGGCATTTCAAAATTTTGATTTTTGTTTTAGAATTTTACTGGATTACAACTTAGACGGATCTTTGGTGACTATTGTGTAGAGCTTACTTCGCTGTATCGAATGGTACCCTAAACCTGCGAACAAAACAAAAACAATTTGACTTGTTCAAGAGGATTTTACTTTTGTGAAAAATTAAATCATGCAAACTCACAAAACTTGCATTTGTCTCAGACGCGGAAAAGAAGTCCTGAAATTAAGCAAATCACATGCTGAATAGGATTAGCAAAAAAGATTCGTGCTCCTAATATTCTAAAAGATGTTGAAGTGGTGGCGATCAATCATGACAGCCCAGGGAAACTTTGTAGGCATACAAGCAGCGTCCTTTCGAAAACGTCATTGCCATTGAAAAAGTTGGCGCTGTTCCTTATTTGAGCATCTTCCCCAAATGTCAAAGGCGCAGCATTCTTGCGCTTGAGCACAGAACGTCTATTCATTTGATATGCACTCGATGAACAGCAAATGGGGATGATCTAATTACGCACAAAAACTCACATCAAGAAGTCCCTGGTATCTAGGATCCTGAAAAGTTCAAATTACGTTAAGCGTACAAATTGTGTATTGCAATACTTGTTTTGACTAACTAATATAATAACTCACCAAAAGCAGTGGCAAGAGCAGTGCTATCCCTTCTTTAGTAACCTGAAAAGGTCTGATTCAAGTTGTATTGCACACAAGTATATTCGTCCTCACCGTTGGCCATGAATGAATTATGCCATTCTCAAACTACAGTTTGCTAATTAAAGGCAGCGTCAGACAAAGTGATTGGTTTTGGGATTTTAAGGCGTTGCAATGGCAGACCCCACTAATCTATTGGTAAAGCTTGGGGCGAAAAAGCCCGTTTCGAAAGCCTAAAATTTCTTCCGAAAGTGTTTCGGACCCCGCGTACCTACGCGTAATTTTTGCGGAATGCGGACATGAAGAGCTTCGAAAAGGCTCATTTTCACCATTTTCCTGTGATGAATGCGCAGATATAGGTCTAGCAAGGCATAAAGGCCCAAAAAAGTGCGAAACCGGAGAGTGAAAAATTGCATGAACACTGCCTTTGAGGAGGACCCTGCTTTCTGAAAAGGCGCGATGTTTTCATCATTACGCGAAAAAATAATATGTTTTCTTCAATGGTCTCTTAAGGCGGAATATGCGCAACGTTATTGGTTGTTATCACTAGCATTGGCGTGAATAATTTCTGGGATGCCTACTTGCGGACCCATCTCCGAAATTTTAGGAGAACGGACTGGCGGCAGCCATGCACAAAAAAAATTTTTAGGGCTAGTTCGGACTTTTGAAAATTCACTAATTCATACAGTAAACAAGTAAAGCAAGTCCCTTGCAAATTTTTTAACACTTTGAGTGGCTTTCAAGGTGGCACCTTTCCCTTTGGGTACACCACAGGCGCTCAGGTGGAATTATAATACAATAGACGATTAGATGTCAAGTCTACTGAAACTCATAAAAACAAGAGTTTTCTTTCTTATGCTTTTCCAGAAAAACTAGAAAACTTTCACATTTTAGCAGCTGCGTTGGTAATCCCGTGCCGAAATAGGTATTAACTGATCTCTGTGCCTGAAAACTTACCGAATCATTGGGATTTTCCGGCGGTGGATGATAAAAGTAATTAGGTCCGTACCGTCCCGCATTCACAATCGCCACCAGAAGCGTTGCCTTAAAAACAAATTTGGCACAATCGAGAATGTACAACGTAGAAAAAGCTGTGTAATGCATACGGTAAACACTAGAAGTTTCATCCTTGTTGAAGGTTGAGTGATAATGGCTTTGACTGCTTCCACCCTTTTTTATTCGGTCACACGCATAAACTGAAATAACACAGAGCCCAATACTACCAAGTAAATATGGCATTACATCAAAACTAAATCAACTCCACATCTCGTTATATCAATTTTAACATAAAGTTCCAGTGTACTAATGTTACTAAATTAGCCGAAACAGCTAGATACATGATTTTAGGCAGGCAGCAAATTTGTCTCTGCATCAAACTGAACAAGCATCACAATTGTTATTCTCTTTTTCTGACCTCTCAAACAACTATCATTGGTTTCCCAGAACAGCTAAATACAAGCTAACCCAATGTAAGCTTGGAGACAACGTATTCAAATTCTTTTTTTTTGTAACAATGTTCTCAAGAAGAAAAGCGTTTTAGATGCAACTTCACTAATCGTTGACTGATTCTAGAATTGCTTTTCAATTTTTTCCCATGTCCTCTTCACTTATACTCGGTACAACCACTTCATACATCACTTCTTCAAAGCACATTTCTAAATAAATAATCTACCATGGCAATCAATATAATCGATGCGATTTTACCTCAAATCAACCACAACTAAAACATTCACAGTGTTTGTACTTTACTACAGACCATGTAGTTTATACAGCAAACGACATTTCGTAGAAAGCTCTGCGTAAATATTATCGAATTTATTAACCTTTAGAGAGGGTACGTGCTTTATTGTGATTATTGAGCAAATAACATGTTGATGAAGCTTCCTTCTGTGAATATTAGTTAAACTGAAAATTCTGTCACGTTGATTTCAAAAAACTCGTAACTGCTCCTTATGTGAGTGAGCATATTCGCTTACAATAGATATCATTCAGGGAGAAGGTCATCTACTGGCTAACATCTTTGATGCTCTTTGACGACAAGGGACTCTAGGATGAAAATTCGAATAGGAAAACCGTTCCGACATTTTCTGAAAATAGATTGTCAAAAATCTGGAACATGCAGAAAAATTTGGCAGCATAATTTTTAGAGCCTATGTGAGCTGCTCTTCTAAATGCCAAGTTTGTGTAGGTCGAGTCTTTTTATGAAAAGTTATGATTCTGTGGATAATGCAAAAAACGCAAAAATGATTTTTTCGCAATTTTTCAAATTTCTGCACCGTGGCAATTTCAACAATTCATTTGCAAATCGAGAGTCAGATTGGGTTTTTCTATCCAATGTTTATCTCTAAAAAGGAAACGATCCCAGATTAAGGTGGCGAACTGGAACAAAACGCATATCGTTAGATACGCCTTGATGAGCTGATTTCAAATCTATCTTCCATATTTGCGATGTCGCTATCTGAAAAAAGTTAAGAGCGGTCAAAAATGTAAAGCAATTGAGGATCTAATGCATAATGTGCTTTGAAATCCAGTCTGGAAGTGCATGACTGGCATGATACTGAGTCTGATTCTAAGAAATGCTCACATTCAAAAGAAAAACAAGTAAGTATTTTTGAACAATTAAAAAACAACTAAGGTTCCCTGGCAAAAGCTGTTAGCAATGAAAAGTCCAAATTTGGCAAATTTACAGCACCATAACTCAAAAAATAGTTTATCAAGAACACTTCTTTACGTATTCGTTGAATGAAAAATTTTTCAAAATTGGTAGACTCACTATCATGCTAGTCATGCAATCCCAAGTTGGATTTCAAAGCATATTATGCACCAAAATCCCAAGTACTTCACATTTTTGACCGCTCATAACTTTCTACAGGTAGCGGAATTGCAGATATGGAAGGTGGACCTGGAAGCTCATTAAGACGCATTTAATGTTATGTGGTTCATTCCAGTTCGCCACTTAGGCGTATGCACTAACAATTTTGCGGCGAGGGGAGCGGCGTCCCCTGTTATGAAGGGACCGCGTGCGGACGCCGCTGCGGCTTTTTCATCATTGGGGACGCCGCTTCCCTCGCCGCAGGGATGTTAGTGCATGCGGCCCTTAGATTGGGACCGTTCCCTCGTAAGATCCCTAGATCCCTACTCATTAAACAGCATCAAAGGCACTATCGAAAAGTGGATGAATTCATCCTTCTTAATTGTATCCGAATAGCTCACACACGGAGCAATTACGAATTTTCAAAATCAAAACGACAGAGCTTTTGGTTCAATCTAATACAGGGTGTACTAAAAAATGTGCCCACTGTTTGATTGTAAATTCTCTTCTAATGAAGTCTTTCGAGAAGCTTTGCGTACCACTTTGTAGAGCTGGCTTCAACTTCGATTTACAATATGGAGCGAATCCCGATCGCTCTTCATTACTGTAAGACTACGGAAAAACTTCAAGCATATGGTGTCACAGTGAAAAAAGCTGCCGTTTCAAAAAATTTTAAAAAATGTGAAAAAATGTGTAGTAGGATTTCTATGGACGCTAGTTCAATACTTAATTATGTACAATATTGCTAACCTTTATAAACGGTATAACCGCAAATTTTGGGAACGGAATTGAAGAAACGCCCCGTACTGCTTACCTTGAATAACTTTTTAATGAAGCTTTATGACATGTTGCGAACTTCACGCTCAGAATCAGCAATTCTAATTAGCCCAGTGTGAAAGTCTTCAGATTGTTTTGTTTGCTTTTTGAAACAAAATGTGGCCTCTCATGGCTCAAAACCCTTTTTGAAGTTTCTACCGTAATCCTTTAGTAACGAAGAGAGATAGGTGACTTGTTTTATAAAGTAAATCTAAGTTGAAGCTAGCTCTACAACACGGTACCCAAATCTTCTCGAAAGACTTCATTACAAGTGAGGTATTAATAATCAAACAGTAGGCACATCTTTTGGGACACTCTGTATATTGAATCTTTGCGGCTAATGCATCCGCGATTCCTTCATTGATTATGCGTCCAGTTCGTTATACAAAAGAGGAATTTCTTTCTTTCTGTATTAAACACTACTCACTCGTTACTAGGACTTCCTCAATGGGTCGTACAAATTGGTAAGATTGGTTAACTATCCATGGCGAAAACCATGGGTCGCAGCTTTTGAACATGTTGTTTGCTATTGGTTAAAGGCAGCGGCTCGGCAGATTTTCGACTTTGGGGTTCTGGCAGATTTGGGGCTATTCATTGGGCACATTGTGACCTATTTGAGGCCGCTCGCGCCCGCGACGCACCCTGCGTCCCTCTCACGCGCGTGCTCTCTGGTCATTAGCTCGCTTCAATTGGGCCACGAAGCCCCGCCTTCCCAAAGCCAAGCCAGTTGAATCAAATGGTAGCTAATCTTTCGATAACACAGATCTTTCGATGGTAAAGGAAAGCATATAGTTAGGGTTTTAGCAGCTGTTTGGTATGAAAGAAAGAAGGGTAAGAAAGTAAGAAAGGGTAAGAAAGTCACTGAACACGCTGATTACGAAAATAGCCACTATTTGTTATAAAAGCGCTGATTACGACGCTACAGAAGAGACCGAGTATGTTCAAAAGTGGATACTCAGACACTCGCGGTTGACTCGCGCAGGGCAAAACGATGTGTAGCCATTGAATGCGTGGGCGACTCGCGAAATCGGTGTCGCGGCAAAATCAGGACACCTGATTTTGTGTCGCGGCCTTATTACATTCCGGATTCCGATTTTCGAGTAATTTTGAAAACACGCGAAACTCTGGAATAGAACTGAGGACTGTGGATAGGAAAGCAACTGAAAATTCGACAGAAAAGCTCGTGAGGAAAAAGCAGGATCTTTGAAATAGGAACTGCACAGGTAGCAATATGACTGCAAGGAAGAATTGATCAATACGTCGACGTATAGGCGCGTTATTTCGAAATCCTCGCCCGTCGCGGCAAAATCGCACTAAAATCGGGGCGAAACTAAAACGATGACTCGCGCCGGTCCACCGGATTTTGCTGCGAACGCCCATTTTGTGGGCGGATCCCCTGCGCGAGTCAACCGCGAGTGTCTGAGTAGGGACGAAAATGTCTACCAAAGTAACTAGTGAACCAGTAATCAAAGGTGCTAGATTGCCCGCGCACTTCGGGACCGCATCGCGCTATTTGATGGTTTTTGACTGCAGCTTTCGATTCTTTATATATGAGATATTAGATAGATGGATATGAAAAGTTGAGCTCTACCACTTTGATTATCATTTTGATTTATTCACTTTTCACATCTCTTAACCATCACGTGTCAAATCAAGAGACTCCTAGGCGTCCGCGCTGCGCACCGAGAGCAACGCTGTTGCGTCCATTCAAGATAGTTCATGACTGGAAGAAGCGCAGAGAAAACAGGCAGGCGGTGAGTGTGCTCGGGGAAAGAGGAGTGACACGCAATACACTACCTACTTGCGCACTCTCCGCGTCCTGCGCGGACGGCGTATATCTCTAATCGTTTGATAAATTTTTGTGTATTCTAAGCGTCTGTAGAGGTGTATGGACTCGCTTCAAATGTTCAAATGCTTGATTAATTCCTTAGCTTCTCCAAGACCCTTTTCGTTATCAAAATATTTGAATTCGGTGCTGTTGTAAAGACAAATGTACAAATGTTCCTTTTTCAAATCATAAGCAATTGAAACTTTGCCTGTAGAATTCTCAACCTAAAATAAATTGTATTTTCTCAAACAAACTCTAAAACAGAAAAGCCAGGTTCAATACTGTGTAATAGGCAGGTATTTCCTTTCGTAACTGCACATAGTTTCTTATGAGTGAATTCTGGATTTCAATAATGTGTAGGGGGTCTTTCCCTGTGCTAAAGCTTTCCTGACAAAAAGGGATGGTGCTTACAATAGCTTTACTGATTGGGCCGTTAGGGATAAAAGCTCCAGAACTTGATGGTAATGTTCTGACATACAAGTAGAGCCAGAAAATGTCACCTCCAGCAGCGAGCTTTGTATAGAGAGTTCTGCTCCTAATTTTCACCATTTTCATAAAATGTACGACTTTGCGGAATAGAAGTTGTGTTAAACATGATTTTTTTAAACGTTTTGATTTTTCTTACTTGCGATTAAGATGCTGGTCTTTTCATTTTTTGCCGTTTGTATTGT